TGCTTCAACCTTGTTAAGAGTGTATCTTCCAGTATATGCTTTGAAATCAATTTCCAATTATCTTCTGTAATTGGTAAGTTTCTGATCAGTAATGCTACTTGCATTTCTATTTCCTCATCAAATTTTACTTGATTATCACAACTGCTCTTAGAAAAATCTCTGGACAACGTGTCTGCAATGTATAAATATTTACCGGGAACGTGTTTAATGGTCAAGCAAAACGGTTGTAATCTTAACATCATTCCTTGTAACCTAGCCGGAATCTTGTGTAGCTGCTTATTAAAAATGCCCACTAACGGTTTATGATCAGTTTCTACCAACACTTCGTCTTTTCCCCAAATGTATTGTTTAAATTTCTCAACCCCAAAACATACTGCTAATAGTTCTTTTTCGATCTGAGAGTATCTTGTTTGAACTTCCGTTAACACATGTGAAGCATACGCAATAGGACGATCCTCTTGAATCAAGGTAGCCCCAAGTCCTTTCGAACTAGCGTCAACACTTAATTCTAATCTTTGTTTGGATCATAGTATCTTAATACTGGGGCTTTTGTTATTAAGTTTTTTAAACATTCAAACGCTTTCCTTTGACGGTCAGTCCATCGAAATTCTATATCATTTTTTAGCAAATCTCTTAGTGGAGCACTAATATCTGAATACTTAGGGATAAATTTTGAAACATAATTAAACATTCCAAGCGCTCTTTGAAGTGACTTTTTATCTACCGGATCTTTAATTTTTCTAACTGCTTTTATCTTATCATAACTTACAGACATCCCTTTTTGAGTAAATGTATGACCTAAGAAGTTGATTTTGTCTACGGCAAATACGCATTTTTTTTTCATTGAACTTGATGCCAAGTAATTTAGCTTTCTCCAATACTCTACACAATATCTCATGCAACTCTTTTTTAGAATTGGCCCATATTAAAATATCATCTTGAAAGGAAATAAAGGACATTTTGAATGCTTTCAAAAGCTTATGAAATTATCCTGTGAAAAATTTCTGGAGCACTATTCAATCCAAACGGTAACCTTTTAAAGGCATATCTTCCCCACGCTGTTTGGAAAGTGCACAACTTTGAGCTAGCTTTGTCTAACGGTAACATCCAGAATCCCGATTGTGCGTCGAGTTTGCAGAAATATTTGGCTCCTACTAGTTTAGCAGAAATTTCATCAATTGTAGGAAATACAAAATACTCTCGTTTAATAGCCTTGTTAAGCGGTTGAGGATTTAAACAAATTCGTAGTGATCCATCCTTTTTGCATACTATCACCATTTGACTTACCCACTCAGTGGGTTCCGTTATCCGTTCAATAATGCCCATATTTTGCAACCTATCCAGTTCTAACTTGACCCGTGGTACTAATGCATGTGGAATTCTCCTTGCGGGTAACACTGCTGGTTTCACTCGATGATCTATATGAATTTTGACTTCTTGTGGAATGCGTCCCACTTGACCATCAAACAACTCTCGGTATTCTTTCGGAATCCATGTTTTTACCTCCTCTGATAACGTTTCTTCTCTGACAATCAATCCTAGTCGTTCACTGGTTTTCAGCCCTATTATATTAAAACAGTCAATATCAACAACATAAAATGGAATTTGATAATCAGTCGACTTATATCTACATACTAAACTACATTTTCCAATAACTGGTAACCTGTTTTTTGTGAAAGATCTAATCACGACCTTTGTTCTATCCAATTGTCTGAGATCACCTTTAAGTTTTCTATATTGTTTCATACTCAATACATTAACCTGCGCCCCTGAATCACATTTAAATTCTATTTTTTGTCCCTTAACCAACAGACTTACAATATACCAGTCATCTGAGCCGGATTTATTATCATCAATCGCTGATACTTGAAGTTCTTGGACCCTGAGTTCTTCATCTTCATCTTCTGTCTGACGTTCTTCCAGAATATTGATTTGACTTCTTTTCTTTGTCCTACAGACCCTCGCAAAATGATTACGCTTGTTGCAGTTCGTACACTCTTTTCCAAACGCTGGGCATCTTCCCTACTCGTGTTTATAGCCGCAAAATTTACATTCCGCATTTCTTCTTACGCTCGTACTATCTGTTGACCTCCCCTAATTGGATTGATTGTTCTTGTTGTACCCCCTTCTATTCCTTTGAAGAACCTCAATGCTGGGTTCTTGTTTAATTGTTTTCTCCTGCTCTTCTTCTTCGTGTTCAGTTTTTATTCTTTTAACTTGAGACGATATCGTAACGTGTGTTCTACAGACTGCGAGGGCTTTTTGAATATCTACCTCGACCAAATTCAAAAGTTTTTCCTGGATACATCTATCACGTACTCCGCTTATGAATACATCTTTAACTAGACTGTCTCTTAGATCTCCCAGTTGGCAGTTTAAACTCATATTTTTTAACGTGGCCATATAATGATCGTAGGATTCTCCCACTTCTTGCCTCCGATTGAATAATAAGTGACGTTCATATGTTGTATTTGTTGCTGGCACATAGTATTCATCAAATTTTTTAAATACCACACTTAATTTCTTTTTGTCCTCCTCGCATAACTGAAAGGATTCGAACACTTCTGGTGCGTCCTCTCCCGCTGCATGTAATAATATTGCTACTTTTTTACTATCTGCAGCTTTATCATGATAAGCATCTAGGAATGTTGTAAACTGCCGCTTAAATCTTTTCCAGTTTATTGCCATATCACCGCTCGTATTTAACGGTGCCAAAGCTCTTGCTGGCATTCCTTCCATTATGCTAGTTGAGGTTAATTTTACTGTTTTATATAATATTCTTGAACTTTATGACTGATGTAGCACCGCTGTCACCATGTTTTGTGGTAGGCTTAATGATGAAGTGGAATGTTTAACTAAGAACTGCGTACTGGTTTTATTGAGTAACTTATTAATACAGACTGCTCTTGTCTAGCCCTTTTTCTAATACACACACACTCGTTATTATTATTGTTGTTCTGTCGTGGTCTCACCGCATACTGTTAGATGTCGCTCACGCTCGATACCTTACTTAACTCTAACGCACAACACCGGCTGCAGGCGGATGTCGCGTCCTAGCCGTGAGGCGTTTAGGACACGAGCCTACGCAGCCCTCGAATCATATTTTTGTGTATAAATACGGTCATCGAGGTTAAGTCAGGAAGAAGAAGGCCACCAGCAAG